CTACTCTCTAGGCTCGTTATTCAACACTGTGCAAGTAGATCTAGCCAATAGGGTAAAGCAAGAAATAGAAATGCAACGGAATTCTAACCTAATAAGCAAAGTATGAATCCATGAGTCCACACTGATATAAATAAATAAGGGAAGGAAGGAAGGATACAGAAAGGAGAGCTCTGTTTTACAGTAGAAAGCTAACTAATAAATGTAGAAGAAAAGAAGAATTAGGAAAAATCACCACTTGCCAACCAACATAATAACTGATTGAGGCAAGAACCATTAACAGGTGCTAAAACTAATGGATGAACGCTTAAAGAGTCTAAGTATATCGACACAACATACTTTGAAATTACAAAGGGTAATATAGTAACTTTCCAGTTGATAGAAATCACTTTAATCAAGTGATCAAAGATAACATTGTAGGCATAAGATTAATCAACGGCATCTGCCTCCTGATGTGATACATAGAGAAAAACTCTGCACCATTTCCGTGGCATTCCTGCCAAGAGTTCACAGCCTGAACCCAACCATGAGGAACCATCTGACATACTCGCATAGAGAGGCATTCTACAAAATAACTGGTCTATCCTATTCAAAAATGCCAATGCCATGAAACACTGAGGACTCAGGAACTGTCTGGATTAAGGAGACTAGGAAGACAAGACAGCTGAATGTACTACATGATCTTAGCTTTCCTTTTTTTATATAGGACATTTGAAACCAAAACCAAGTCAACTGCCAGCCAGTCGATTCTGACAACCAGGACAAAATCTCAATAAGGTCTATAGAATGCAATATTGATTCAGAGTTGATCACCTTATTTTGATAGTTATGCTGTGGTTATGTAAGAGAATTGTTTTTTGTAAATTCACAACTATTTGACGGTAAAGGAGCTTCATGTCTGCTAGTTACTCTTCTGCAGTTCAGAAAAAATACATATGTATATATGTACATACAAATAAGTAAATGAATAAATTTTAATTCTATATACATACACATAAACACTTGGGGAAAAGGAGGTGCAAATATAGCAAAATGTTAACATTTGGAAAATATGGGTGAGGGACATCCAAGAATCTATGTACTATTTCTGCACCTTTCCTTTAAGTAGGAAATTATGTCAAAAATTTTTTAATTACTTTTAAATAATTACTTTAGAAATACAAGCTACTTTTTTATTATTAAAATATTGTTTATTATTGAGACATAATTGTTATTATTTATATGTGCTAAGATCTACAGGAATCCCTGGGTGATGCAAACGTAAGTGCTCAACTACTAGCTGAAAGGTTGGTGATTTGAACCCACCCAGAGGCACTTCGGAAGACAGCCCTGGCAATCGGCTTCCGAAAGATCACAGCCTTGAATCCCTGCGGAGAATTTCTACTCTGCACACATGGGATCGCCATGAGCTGTAATCGATTCGAAGGCAACTAACAACAACA